AGTAAGAGACAGTAGCTACACTTGTGGTGAGCATAGCATAACATAGAGATGTTGAACCACTATGTTGTACACTCGAAACTACGGTAACATTGTATGTCAACTACACTCAAATAAAAGAAATTTTAATAAAATAATTTTTTTGAATGTAAGCACATAATCAGAAAAAACAGAAAGAATAGTTACAGGGGTGGAGACTGTAGCTCTGGGGTAAGGAGAGACAAGAAGGGGCACTATGACAACAGTTGTCAACTGAAAGATCCATTGTGCATAAAGAGGCTCCATCTTTTTCTACTCAGGCTCCAAATCATCCCCACATAACCAATGAGTAAAAGAAGCTACAAGTACAGAGATTTCAATTTGACATAAGAACTTTCAACAGTGCTGCCCAAAGACAGAAGGGATTATTATTATAAACAATAAGTTTCACTTCATTGGAAGTATTCAAGTATAAATGGAATACTCCTTTGGCAGAAATCTTTAGAGGGGCTCCTGGGTGGCTCAGTCAGTTAAGCATCCAACTCTTGATTCTGGCTCAGGTCATGATCTTGGTGTTGTGAGATCAAGCCCCACATCGGGCTCCTACACTTGGTGTGGAGTCTGTTTGGGATTCTCTCTCTCCCTCTGCCTCTGCTTCCCCCCCAACCCACCCACCAATCATGATCTCTCTCTCTCTCCCTCTCTCTCTCTCAAAATAAATAAATAAATAAATCTTAAAAAAATAAAGAAATCTTTAAAGAAAAAAGTACAGATGAAGGCTGGACTAAATCAGTGGTTCCTAAAAGCCAGTTAAAAGGCTGACACCAACCCATGATGAAGTTTTCATTCATTGGTAACAAAATGACAAAAACGAAGACAAAACTGTGAGGTTTTTATAAAGCTAAACATACTTGATAATTTAAATTGTAAGATTATGCCTCCTACTCTTTTAGCATCCAAATGGCCTATCCTTTCTGAAAGAATACTGCATGATAGTTTTCTCATTCAGATCCTTTTTTAGGGGGCAAAACTAGAAGTTGACAAAGTAAAGTCAGTCCTTAATTTTAGGGGGTAAGGTTTTACTAGTCTCAAAGTCTGAGAATCACTTGGACAGGTAACTCTTAAGACCCTTTGAAAATTCCAGGAACTCATGTTTGCGGCCAAGGATTGTTATCAAAGCCACTTTTGTTGTTCACTTTTACCATATTTCAGTTGAATGTGCAACAAGTACTGCCCCTCTCAGACAGATTTTCCCCAAGGATTCCACCTTCATCTGAAAGGTTTGGAATGATAGAGGAATTGAGGAGATTCCCAATCTGTCAGGGACTTCTAACACATGAAAAGAGAGAGAGTTCTGCTTTAGAGACGTTCATCCAAATTCACCACATAGCCAATGGGTGAAATTCCAGATGGCATTGGCCTCTCAATGGACAGGTACATTTTACTGTGCAGTTGCATTCAGGAGAGAGAGTATATACGTATGTGTGGCTGAAAGAGAGAGAGAGAGAGTGTGTGTGTATGTGGGTGTGTGTACACAGAGATAAAGAGGACGGGAATATGAACAGTTGGATATAGGCACCAATGATAATAACAAGGAAGTAGATGACATATTTAGAATTACATCAAAGAACCATTTAATGATAAGAAAAATAAGGTGTGAAGCCCATTACTATTGATATCTATCACCAGCTATGGTATTTGTCTATGGTATTTCTTTGGTTTGTCTATGGTATTTCTTTCTTTTCCCTTTTTTTTTTTTTTAAATTTTTTATCACTCATTTTTAAATCAACAGGAAAAATGTGAAGGTACCAAATTATCTTATTGTCAGGAACCAAAAGAAGAAAGAGGCACTGATGACACCGCTCCATCCCAAACCCCCGGAGCTTTCTGATTTTGCTACTCATGCTTTCTCTAGCAACATCTCCATTTGGATCCCGCTGAAAACACTTCTTTTTCTGTCACTCACAATCTGTCAAGACAGCATTATCTTCTGTGGTTTAAAAACAGAAACTCCATTTAACTTGGCATTTGATAAAGACATTTCATTCATGTTCCCTAACTAACAATAATTATTCTAATTTACCACACGGAAGCAAGAGAAAAGCATTTACCTTTTGCAGCTTGTTTTGCATTGTGGAACACATGGAGGAGAAATGGTCCCCTCTTGAGATTGAAAAATATCTTATGAAGTCAAAAATGGACCTAATATGAATGTTTGCTTTCAGTATGTCCTCACTGTATTTCAATTAGTGTAGTGGTTAGGAGTTTGGGCTCTCAAATCACACTTGGGTTCAAATCCTGACTTTGCCACTTATTATGACCTTAAGCGAGACAGAACAGTTCCTAGAATTCAAAGTAAAGTTAGGGGCACTTGGGTGGCTCAGTCAGTTGAGTGTCTGACTCTTGATTTCAGCTCAGGTCATGATCTCAGGGTTATGAGATTGAGCCCTGCATCAGGCTCTGTGCTAGGTGTGGAGCCTGCTTGAAATTCTCTCTTCCTCTCCCTCTCTAAAAAAAGAAAGAAACAAACAAAAAACTGAAGTAAAACTAGAACAATGTTAGAAGCCATAGGAACCAGGTCACTAGGAATAATAGGCAGTCGGTTCTTCTAGATACCACCGTCAGGAAGAATCAGCAACAACCATTTTCCATCCTGGGGTCAAAGTACGCAAGATTCAGAATCCCTGGATCCCTGGAGAGTGAGCCCCACAGACCTACCATGGTCACATGACCACCTCTTGGCTACGGGAGAGCAAGGTGTTTGAGTAACAGCTCAGTAATACCGTATACGGTGTGAAAGTTTGTTCCCCAGGGGAAAACCCACAGGTCCAAAGCAGGAGGGTACAGACACTGAGCAGGTACAAATATCAAATGCCCACCTCATCCTAAGAACCTACTACATTAAGCCCAATTAAGGTTGCACCCTCTTCTCTTTATCCGCTTCTTCTAATATATGTTATTTTAATATGTTATTAACTTGTAAAGTTATTGTTAAAACTCATTTTGAGAAAAATAACAAGTCCCAGAGCTCTCAAATGCACGTTCCCTTTTAAAAACTATGCTGCTTGTCAAAAAGAAATTATTTTGTTGAAAACTTTCCTATCAGAATTTCCAAGAAATCAATTGCCTTTATGGTCAAGTTATTTAGCAATGATTTGTGCTGTTAACAAGCACAGGAAACACTCACTGAAAAATGTGCCGAAAGATGACTTAGAGAAGTAGCTTATAAAGAAATTATTTTAATGTTTTGTTCAAGAAGATGAGATTTATGCTCAGAAATTAGGCTCAAAGCAAGATTTTGCTTCGATCATTTTTTTTTGTTGATGTTGGTATTTTAGTGAGAAAGGATTAACAATAAAAAGCAGTGGTATAAAAAGAATAATAATAAATGATCAAGAAATATGATGACCCACAATGCCATTAAAATTTTCTTCCAGCTTACTAGCCAAACAAATCCCAAACAATGAAAATACTCGGGTTCTGATTAATTTGGAGCTCCTAACAACTAAGTAGTTTGGTGAAAACATTGCTCCTAAAGCCCAGGGCTCCGGAGGCACACAGAGCTAAGACAAATGTCAGCCCCACCCTTAGCAGCTGTGTGACTCTGGGCAAGTTACTAATCTGCTGAAACACGCAGGCCTCGCTCACCTATGACATAAAGTAAATAAGATGATGGGACACATGTGGGTTTATTGAGATAATGCAGGGAACGTGCTTGACTCTCTATCTGGCACATTGTAAGCCCTCAGTGGTCATGTGAATACTTACATGCATGAGGGTTGGGGGGAGAGAAAAAAAGAGCTGGTTCTCAACAGACAGTGATTCTGCTCCCCCAGAGGGCATCTGGCAATGTCTGGAGACATCTGTGGTTGTCACACCTCGGTGGGGGGGGTTGGAAGGCAGGTTCTTCCGACAGCCAGTGCATAGCACAGAGTCCAGGAATAGAGCTAAACATTCTACAATGTACAGCACAGCCTGCCTCTCCCCACCCCCACTGCCAACAGAATGGTGTGAAACAAAATGTCAATATGCCCAGGTTGGGAAACAGAGGAGAGAGAGAAGCAGTAGGATATAATGCATGACCTGTAAAGGATTTGCAAGGGGAGGTACATTCAGAGCCAGGACAAGAAGGGGAATGAGAGCAGCAGATTTAGAATTAGATTTAGAATTAGGCTTCTGCCGCACATGAGCTCATGAGTCAAGTGCCTTGGAGCCTCGGGATCCTCATTTGTAAAACGGGCATGATACCATCTCCTTCAAACGGCTGTGAGCAGGAATGACATGATGGATGCCCACTACCACCAGTAGGACTGCACTGGTGTATGTATCCACTGACTATCAGCCCTAGTTGTTAGGTGCTTAATAAGTAAACAGTTACTATTCTTGTTACAGGGTAGACCAACTGCCAAGTTTGAAGTTTGACTTGACTAGTTGGAAACACTTGGAAGAGTTTGTTAACTTCAGCAATTTAGTTCCCTCTTATAAGGAAGCCATCAGGAACCAGACTCAGAGCCCAATATTCTCAACTAGGATCTTCAAAATCTCCAAAAATTTTTACTTTTATTTATTTTTATTTTGTTAAAGATTTTATTTATTTGAGATAGAGAGAGAGAGGAAGAGAGAGAGAGCACAAGTGAGGGGGGAGCGGCAGAGGCAGAGGGAGAAGCAGACTCCCCGCTGAGCAGGGAGCCCGATGTGGGACTCAATCCCAGGACCCTGGGATCATGAGCTGAGCCAAAGGCAGCCACTTAACCAACTGACCTCCCAGGCACCCCTCCAAAAATTATTAAAGCATTATACATGTATACATATTATATATTTTTACATATACATAACATATTTTACATACACACACATATATACATATGCATGTATATGTATTTGTCTCTGAAGAGGGTCCAAAACTGGTTAAAGACCACTGGGTTAAAGGTATACAGACAATCCCTGCCTTACCATGGTTCGACTTGTAATTTTTCAGCTTCACAGTGGCGTGAAAGCAGTATACATTAAGGAGAAACCGTACTTCAAATTTTGAATCTGGATCTTTTCCCAGGCTGGTGCTCTATGCATAGGATCCTCTCTTGTGATGCTGGGCAGCCCTGTGATCACAAGGGGCAACAAGCAACACACTTATAACCATTTTGTACCCACACAACCATGCTGTTTTCCACTTGCAGTACAGTACTCAATAAATTACATGAGATGTTCAAAACTAGGCTTGGTGTTAGATGACTATGGCCACCTGTAGGCTAATCTAAGTGGTCTGGGCTTATTACGGTGGGCTAGGCTAAGCTCTGATGTTTGGTAGGTGAGGTGTATTAAATGCATTTTCAACTTACAGTATGTTCAGCTTATGGTGGGTTTCTCAGGACGTAAGCCCATTATAAGTCAAGGGCTATCTGCACACTTTTCAATAGAAAACAATAACCAGGGCGCCTGGGTGGCTCAGATGGTTAAACGTCTGCCTTCGGCTCAGGTCATGATCCCAGGGTCCTGGGATCGAGTCCCGCATCGGGCTCCCTGCTCCTTGGGAGCCTGCTTCTCCCTCTGCTTCTCTTTCTCTCTCTCTCTCTCCCTCTGTCTCTCATGAATAAATAAATAAAATCTTAAAAAAAAAAAAAAGAAAACAATAACCAGGATGCAGAATTTCTGAACAGATCATTATAACGTGAAAGAGACAGTACTTGGGACTAAGAACTCAGATGTGGGAGTCTGAATTCTGCCTCTGTCACTAACTGGCAGGGCAATCTTGGAGACCAAGTGAACTCTAAGCTCTTTGAGTCTCACCTGCCACATTGGAGGGCTCACAGTATCTGCCTAAAAGGATCTCATGAGTAAAATGAGACAGTGGGTGGAAAGAGCCAATATGTCCATCGACAGATGAATGGATAAAGAAGATAAAGAAATATATATATATATATATACACACACACACAATGGAATATTATGTAGCCATCAAAAGGAATGAGATCTTGCCATTTGCAATGACGTGGATGGAACTGGAGGGTGTTATGCTGAGCGAAATAAGTCAGAGAAAGACATGTATCATATGACCTCACTGATATGAGGAATTCTTAATCTCAGGAAACAAACAGGGTTGCTGGAGTGGTGAGGGGTGGGAGGGATGGGGTGGCTGGGTGATAGACACTGGGGAGGGTATGTGCTATGGTGAGCACTGTGAATTGTGCAAGACTGTTGAATCACAGATCTGTACCTCTGAAACAAATAATACATTATATGTTTAAAAAAGAAGAAGATAGCAGGAGGAGAAGAATGAAGGGGGGGAATCGGAGGGGGAGACAAACCATGAGAGATGACGGACTCTGAAAAACAAACTGAGGGTTCTAGAGGGGAGGGGGGGTGGGAGAATGGGTTAGCCTGGTGATGGGTATTAAAGAGGACACGTGCTGCATGGAGCACTGGGTGTTATACACAAACAATGAATCATGGAACACTACATCAAAAACTAAAGATGTAATGTATGGTGATTAACATAACAATAAAAATTTTTTTTAAAAATGAGACAATCGGTGTAAGGTAAGTTTAGCCCAGCTCCCAGCACACAGTACCTGCTCACTAAGTCAGCTTGCAGGGTGATGGTTTTGCATAGATTGTTCTATGCCCAGATGGTGGTAGATGGCTTGAGCCTTGAGCCTTTTCTAATTCCATATGACATACAGTATCAGAAAAATGCAGGGATTCTCCAATTATATCATCCATCTCCTACCCGCCCAGCCAGAGGACTCTGATACTGATGCATCCTCTATAATAACATCTGTACTATCAGAAAGTGGACAGGAGAAGTAGCTATAAATCTGACCACAAAGCCTCCTTTAACATGTGAAAGCCTCATTCAAACTTCTCTCCTCTAATAATCCCCCCGGGGACTCCCCTGAGATTTCCAAAGAAGCTTCCCCCTGCCCAACAATCTAACCACAAAGAGAGACTCTAGGGATGTGCCCATGCATTACACAGCAAAACAACCTAACATTCTTCCTCATCCACCCATTTCCCCAACCTTCCAGTAGCTGCTGAAAGAAACAACAAAACAAAAACACAAAAACTGTCATCTCCTCAGCCTCTCCTTCTGTCGCACCCCCACCCCAGATCCCCCCAGCACCATCCTGCATCCTTCCTGCCCCTACATTTACTGTGTTTATGACACCTCTCCCCTCTTTACAGAGTAGATTCTGGTCTGAAAGCCCTTCTCTCTTTTGAAGCAACCCCCTGGAGTTTGGGTTAGTAAATTCTCCATCTCATTCCACAGGGAAGCCCACCACAAGAAATGCCTCCATCCTTAGGTATATGCCCACTTAACCTTCTTCCAGGGGCTACAGGTATAGAAACCTCCAAGCTTTTCTTACCCCAGCACAGTGCTGAAGAAACAAAGACTTCATCTGTTCTCTACCTGGCTTGCAGGGTAAAATCAGTATTAATCAGAGGTGCCCTTTCTGCTACTGACAGATAAAGTAGATGCGCTCATAACCCAGAGCTGCTTGCCAAACCCCCAGGGCTTTAAATCTTTTCCTAATAAACTGCAATTTGTAAAGAAACCCCCTAAATGATGTTGTGCAGGGAAGTTAAAGCAGGCACAGAAGGATGGAGTAACATTTCACCATCTGCCTGGGATAATAATAATAATGCCTCCGCCTTGCAAAATGTCTAATTGATTGTGCAATGGAAGCACAAAGATCCTGCCATAATCTAACAAAGATTATTCCTAAATTATACCTTTACAGAGGAAGAGCACTAAGGTCAGTGCTCCTAAGAACCAATTTTGAACATATGAACTTTCTGGTGGCAGAATGATAAGAGCCTTGGGACACAGTTGGGCAAGATGGAACCAGTTCACTTCATTATAGTTGCTTAGAGCAATGTCAAGTTCGGTCCACATAGCAAGCAGAGGGTAGCGAGTAAGTGTAAGACAGTGCTTCCCACTGGTGGAACAGAAAATGCCTTAAGGTGGTACGGATGGACCTCTGTCCAGGTTTCCTGTGGAGAAGCCTGGGCTGCTTTTCTCTCCATGGTGTTGAGCTGAGGGAATCATGTAACAGAAGGGCTTGGGAAGAGTGAGCTGGAAAAAGCAAGTTTCATTTCACAGGTTTCTTAAACTACCTTTTCCACAGGAATTACCTGGACAAGCACTCCTGACCTGAGCCAATAAGGTGACTTACCTTAATGCCTCTTGCCCAGGTCCCCATAATCAAAGGACCACCAGCCAGTATTAAAAAGTTAAATAGGGGGTGCCTGAGTGGTGCAGCTGGCTAAGGATCCGACTCCTTGGTTTCGCCTCAGGTCATGATCTCAGGATCATGAGATCGAGCCCTGAGATTGAGCCCTGCAATCAAGCCCCACCTGGGGCTCTGTGCTCAGTGTGGAGTCTGCTTAAGACTTCTCTCCCTCTACCCCTCCCCCCTTTCTCTCTCTCCCTAAAATTATAAATAAATTTTAAAAATCTTTTAAAAAATAAAAAAGTTAAATTACAACATTTTTTAAAAAATTATTATGGATATTTTTCTATATATACAATATATCTGATATATGCACAATATATTCATATATACTCCATATATAGTTTTACATGTATATATGTTAAGATTCTTGGTACAGATTAGTATCAAACTCCAGAAAAAAAAAACAAACATCTTTTCATCTTGTTCTTTAAACTAAGTGGCAAGGAGCTAAATATCACCTTACTGATAGCTGATCATTAACAGTCTCACTCTGCTCACAGGGAAACCTATTTTCCAGTCTGTACACTAGATTGATACTTCATTATCTTTGATTTTCAATTTTAAAATATGAAATAATGTGGCCTTATTTTCACCGTATATATGACCTTATTATCATAATTGTATATATCTTATTACTGTGTATCTATATATTATTCCTCTATATGCTAGTTTTCCATTCATGGTGGGGGTTCACCAATCCTGTTTTAAAAAAAATAAGTAAACAGAAGTGAGTCAATTTAAAGGAGACTATTAAAATAACAATCAACAAAGTGCTCCAAGGACTTGTCGCAAAGCTCTTCCCTAACCCCGGCTCATCCCTCCCCACCGACTACCTAGTTTTCCTCAAAAGCATGGGTTTGGGTGTATGGGCTTTGAGACTACCCTTTCCTCTTTATCCTGATCCTCACTTGGGATCTTTGCATCCAGCTTATCAACATGTTTGGGAAAAGGTTGTCTGCGCTGAGAAGGTCAGGCTCTCTCTTAGAAAGATTAGCAGAAAAAAGCAAAACAATGAACCAATCTGAAGGCCCTTCCAGACTCCCACAACCTTTGGGTTTTAACAAGGCAAAAGGCAGCCAAATCTCCCACAATTAAAAATTTGTTCTGTTTGCCTTTTCCAGTGGTCTTGAATGGCTCTGCAAGAAAATGGTCCAATTAACCAGACAGAAGGGAAGATTTCCCATATGGAGAAGTCTTAGTGTTTTCTTTTTAGCTTTGAAATCCCCTATTTATTAGCAGTGTGTCCTTGGGCAAGTCATCCTGAGCCTGAATTTCTGTACCTAACATATGAGGACCTACTTCCCACGGAGACAATGGGCATTAGGCATGTAGCCTAGGTTCAGGCACACAGAAGTGCTCAAGAAGAGCTATTATGATTAGTGTTATTATCATTCTAATCATTAACAATGTTCATTAAGCCACTTAGTGATAGTGATTTTCATTCTAATAGGAGCTCCCTGCTCTCAAAACAGTGCTGTTCCTTAGTAGTCATTTACCTTAATTCTGGGCTACAACTTAAGACTTCTTTAGGCATCTTTTCAGTCAACAATCATTCAACACATACTTCCTACCGCCACTGTTTTGGGCATGGGGGAAACAGCACTTAACCGGACAGAGCCAAGTCCTTGCCCTGTGGCTCACACTCTGGTGGGGGAAACAGTACACATCATAAATGAATGTCAATTATAGGACATTTGGCAGTGATGAATGCTAGAGAAAAAAATGGATTTTGACCGGGCAAAGGCCTTGCCCATTAAGGTAAAGTTCCTATCTCTTCTGGAGCACTCGGTGTTTTGTACCATATAACTCATCAAGACCTTTAGATGTTAACCATCTGATCTTTGGGCCAATGGCCTCCTTGGTGTGATTTCAGAGGCAAGTGCTCAAAAAGGAAAAAGAGAAAATATTTCCTCTGCCTACTTGCTGATGCCTCAAATCCCTCCAAGAGGGGAGAGATGAGACAAAGAGGTGTTTTCTTGTGGCAGACGAGCTAGGCTATCAAACACTAGGCTCCGACGGGATGCCACTCCTAGTCTATGGGGTGGCAGGTATTACCAAGTTGTCCTCTTCCCTGCTGAGCCTGGAAGCAGCTTTACAAACCCTCTCAGCACAGCTCTCTAGGCAACACTGTCAGTGATTCAAGTTAGCATAAAAGTGAAATCTGTGTGTCATCAAAGAGTTCGAAGTAAGGTTTAAATATAAATACACCTAGGAGAAGTATCATACTGACTTGAAATCGCACGAAGTACAGAGGGACTGGCCCTCTCCCCAGATGACATTTTATCTGGGGTGGGTAATAGCTAAGAAGAAAGTCATAGGTGTATGGGGGTGGGGGGGATGCACAAAGGAGAGGGGAGGACATATTTTACAACCCCACGCACATTTGTGTCTGGACGTGTGTCATAGGCATTTCCACATACCCTCTGATTTGAAGGAAGACCCTCCAGTATGTACGATGTCTTTCACACAGTTCCACAGCTGAGCCCACAAATTATAGCGTTCCCAAAAGTCAGCTCTGTTCTTCCAGTTGTACAAGCCAACCATGTTGGAGCTCACTGGCACATCCTTTCGGCTGGACCTTTTAAAAGATGATCAGAATCCAACCATTTCTTGGCAGCTCCACCTCTACTTCCCAAGTCAAGCCACCACCATGTCTTGGCTGGATGGCTGTAATATTTCCCTACCAGTCTCAGCTTCTGCCCATGCTCCTGTACTGTCTATTCCCACTCAAGAACCTCTTAAGCCCAAGTCTGATCACATCCCTCTTCCGGCCAAAAACCTGTGTCTTCTCAACTCCCCCATCTATAAGGTCCTTCCAGCTCTTGTCCCTAACTATCTCTCAGGCCTCTACAACTATCACTCTTTCTTCCAGCCCCATAGGCCCCTTTCCTCCTCCAATGGATCTGGTATGTTTCTATCTCAGGACCTTTGCACTTGCTGCTCTCTCTACCTCAGATACTTTTTCTCCAGACAGTCATATGGCTACTCCCTCACTGTAGTCACATCTTTGATGTAACCCTGAAAGACCCTCTTAGAAAGGCCCATTGATGTAACCCTGAAAGGCCCTCATAGAAAGGCCCCATCTAAAAGAGCACACAATGAGGCACCTGAGTGGCTCAGTCAGTTAATCCTCTGACTCTTGATTTTGGCTCAGGTCATGATCTCAGGGTCGTGAGATCGAAGCTCTGGTTCAGGTTGAGATTCTCTCTCCCTCTCCCTCTGCCCCTCCTCCCACTTACGTGTTCGCTCTCTCTCTCAAATAAATAAAACTTTTTTAAAAATAAAATAGAAGAGCACACAAGCCAGCCCCACATCGACCCCTTCATTCTCTTCACCTTACCCTGCTTGATAATTCCTCATGGCCCTCATCACTACCTGGCATAATCCTTCCTCCCTCCCTCCCTCCTTCCCTTCCTTCCTTTGTTCTTCCTTCCCTCCCTTCCTCCCATCACTATCTACCCCCAGTAGAATATAAGCTCCATCAGAGTCAGGGCATGGTCTGTTCTGATCATTTTTGTGCCTAGAATAGGGTCTGGCCCAGAGCAGGCTCTCCAACTGCCTTGATCAAAACTCAAGCACCACAGAGAACTGGCACCATGTTGTGAAGGAAGAAACTATTGCATCTACCAACGCAACTACAATCTACCAAATGCAACCGCTTTACTTGACCAGCTCAAGCTCCATCTCCCGTAACAGTGGGTGATCAAGGTCTAAACACATAATGATAGTACTGGGGTGACAAGAAGTGAAAGTCCCTTACTCTTGAAAGAAAGCCACATGTTATCAAATCCTGGATTTGCTCAGTGGCATTTAGGTTTTATGGCTATAAAATAACATTCTTATTTCAAGTCTCTAGTGCCTACATCCCTCAAAACAAACACTTTACACTCAGATTTTGATAACACAAGGTTTATTAACTATTAACACAATGCAGCTATTATGTTACTGCAGAATAGGCTACACATACACAAAGATTCAGCATGCCATCAAAAGTCTTCCTCACAGGAACTGAGAGCTCCTAAAGCAGGGATGGTCCTGAGCCTACCATTCACCCAATTTAGGCCTCAGCACCTTTACTCTGTAAAACAAATGGCTATACCAGGCTATCTCTTGCATTTGCCCTAAATTATATATTCTATGAGGCAGGCAGTGGAATCCATCAGAAAGGACATGGGATTTGGAGTTTGAGATCTGGTTCTGTCACTTATCAGCTGGACTGAATTAAAGTGTTTTTTTTTCATGTATAAAACATTAATCACTGGAAATACCTACTTTGCCTATATCATCTTTTCATCTCCTAACATATGCATTTGGAGGATCACCCAAGACAGGACTGTAGGGGCAGGGATCCCATCTATTTGGTTGACCAGGACGAGCGCAGTGCCTGACATATTACAGGCACCCACATGCATTGGCTGGATGAAGGAAAGAATATATGAACAAACAGACAAAAAAAATTTTTTTTAATTTTCCTATCTCCCTGATTGCCAGGACTATTATATGAATTAAATACAATACTGTCTGTTGTAAGGATTTACAAAAGACATGTATGTTGAAAGAGCTTTTTAAGTTCTAAAGTGATACAAATGTTAATAATTACCATCATAGATCAACTTCATATTTGCCCAGTTCAGCCTTGGTTGTCTTATTAATTTAATGCCAACATGACTGGAACTGGAAAGAAACCAATATTTATTAAGGCTTTACTGTGTCCTGGTGAGAGATATATATAATTTGTGTCTTCTACCTTTTGAACCAACCCTGCTGTTTCAAATTTAGTCGTTAAGTCCTAGCCAGAAACTACATCAAAACTGAACTCATAAATCAGTTGACAGTCACTTAGCACTTACTACCAGCCACACTCCATATATAGTGTTTTGTGGGCATAAGCTCATACCCTTTTTAAAGGTGTAAGTCATTTCTTTCTTTCAGTTCTTTTGAGATATAATTGACATACAACACTTTATAAGTTTAAGGTGTACCACATAATTTGCATATATTATGAAACGATTAGCATAAGTTTAGTTATTCATCACCTCATCTAGACACACACAAAAAAAGGGGGGGAAATGGGTTTTTCCTTGTGATAAAAACTTTCAGGATCTCCTCTTAGCAACTCTCAAGAATACACACAGCAGTGTTTAGTCATCACGTTGTATATCACATCCCCATTAACGTAGATTCTTCACATTAGCTACTGCTTTTGTCCCCATTTTAACAGATAAGGAAACAGAGACTCTGAGGGAAGCAACTTGCTCCAAGTCTACCGTTAGCAGGTGGCAGAGTCAGGATTTGACTGTTTGACTCAAAGTCCATGCTCTTCAGTACCTAAAATGCAGGGCATGCATGTACAGTTATCATAGAACCCGTGCTGAGTCATTTTGGTCCTTTTCTTCCTGTTCAAGGGAGAGCTGCTTTAGCACTGGATCAGTACTGCCTTAATTTTCTTTTCTCCCCAAGTGAAAATCTATGCCTGGGAATAAGGGGAAAGATAACAATGAGACAAGAGAACACACCCCCAGTTTCAAGTTCTTCTTCCTCACGTTGGCCCTTCCGGTGGTGCCTTCACTGTTGTCATAACCTGGAAGGCAGGTCTGCGATCAGCAAGGCCAATGAGAACACGTGCCCCTGACAAACCTCGGGTCCCATTCACAGTTACCCAAAGACTATTGAAATTTCTTTTCATTTCTCTGCCTGTTCAGGGCAAGCATGTCCACTTCAGTAGTTAAGACCATCAGCTGGCCTGATTCACAAGCAGTTCCTAATTAAGTAAGACTATTGAATGCTGTGAGATATGGAATCTCTTGCTGCTAAATTGCACACAGGCTGAAAGCAATGAGGATCTGTTTCGATATGCGCAGTGCTTTATATTCAGGGGACCAGCAGTTAACGAGACACAGAAACCAATCATCATTAGGACAACCCTGTCTAGGCTGCCAGAGAATAAAGGTCCCCACACAGAGCTACCTGCCTGGACTAATGGTCAAGAGGCTGATGAGGCCTTAATGAGACTATGAATCAAAATTTACCAAACAAACAATGCTCCCAAAGGCCCCGGCTTCTAGTTATTTGTTTGACTTTATCTTGGAACTAACTATGGAACAAGATGACTGCGTTTGGATGTCTTCATTAGTGGCCTATCCTTGAACGATTCTTCCAAGTCAATGTCCCAACCTCGCTTCTTTGTAGGAAAAAGAAAGAGGGTCAAAGGATTATATTATAGAATATAAAAGGCAGGGGTGCCTGGGTGGCTCAGTCGGTTGAGCATCCAGTTCTTGATTTCAGCTCATGTCATGAGCTCAGGGTCGTTAACATCAAGCCCCACGTCCAGCTCCGGAGTCTGCTTGTCTCTCTCCCTCTGCTCCTTCCCCCACTTACCTGCTCTCTCTCTCTTTCAAATAAATACATAAATAAATTCTTTTTAAAAAAAGAATATAAAATCCAGATACTGATAAAGGTCATATTTAGTGCTTTACACTAAATATATTTGTTTACGGTTCTTTCTCTGGGAAAATTAATCATATGTTATCAAGAACTACCATCTACTGAGCACTTATGTACTAGGCACCATGCTGAGAGTTTTGCATACACTGGCTGGCAGTTATAGTTATGTAGCCTGAGGTAACTTGAGAAAGCCTCCTGTACCAGGTCATTTCCTTGTTCTGTGTTCTCACAGGACCAAGCACCTCCCTATCATTAAGCTTTTCACAAACTCATTTGTGTGGTGGATATCTCTGTCTTGAATTGAACTATAAATTCCACTGAAGCAACGATTATGTCTATTTTTGTTACCCATTATAACAGCAGCTACTAACACAGCACACGACATATAATAGATGCTCAACAAACACTTGATGACTAAATGCAGGCAGCATGTAGAGATGCAGACACATCCCAGGCTGACAGAGCCCGTAAGCAGCAGAGACAGGATTTGAACGCAGACTCCAGAGCCTGAGCTCCTAACCTGCAGCACATGGTCTCTGTCTCTCTGGGCTGAGTGGTCTTTTGCATCAAAACACATCAAACAAGGAACAAACAACAGCAACTGTAATTATCACCAAGGTCTTGTACAGACATTAAAAAGCAAAAGGGGGTGGGGCGCCTGGGTGGCTCAGGGGTTAAGCGTCTGCCTTCGGCTTGGGTCATGGTCCCAGGGTCCTGGGATCAAGCCCCGCATTGGGCTTCCTGCTCGGCGGGAAGTCTGCTTCTCCCTCTCTTGCTCCCCCTGCTTGTGTTCTTTCTCTCTATCAAACAAATAAATAAAATCTTTAAAAAAAAATTAAAAGCAAAAGGGGATGGATCCTCCATGGATCTAAATGGATGGATGGAGGTGCCATTTATTAATCTAGGAATTCATTCTTCTAAATACTTTGACACTTTGCGAGGAGATGAGGAGACAACCACCTGTGAGCACATACAGCTCAGAAGAAAAGTTTGGGCCCGTCATTCTGGCTTGTGGGAAAGAATAGAGTCTGGGAAGAAGAGGGCCTGGGAGCACTGAATAAAGAGAAAGACAATTCATTGTTAATATGAGAAATGCATGA